GAAGAATGTGAGGCAGAAAAAAGTATTTTAAGAAATAATGGACCTCCAAACTTCTCAAGTTAGGTAAAAGACATAAGCCTACAGATTCAAGAGGCTGAGCAAACCCCAAACAAGATAAACCCAAAGGAATCCATATCCAGACACATTATAATCAAATTGCTGAAAACTAAAGACAAAATGAATAATCTTGAAATCAGTGAGAGAAAAATGACTCATTACCTGTAGGGGAACAATGATTTCAGCAACTGCAGATTTCTCATCAGAAACCATGAAAACCAGAAGGAAATGGCACAACATTTTAAAACTGCTAAAAGGCTGAAAGAAAAGAACTACCAACCATGAAGTCCATATCCAGTGAAAATAGCCTTCAGGAGTGAAGGTGAAATAAAGACATGGAAAATTAAGAGAATTCATAGCCAGCATACGTGCTCTAAATGAATTGCTAAAGGAAGTTCTTCACACAATAAAAAGGATATAGGAAGGAAACTTGGAACATCAGAAATGAAGGAAGAACAACAGAAATGGTAAGTATCTTGGTAAATATAATAGACTATTCTCCTCTTGAGTTCTTTAAAACATGCTTGGGAGTTCCCTGGTGGTCTAGTGGTTAGGATTCCAGGCTTTCACTGCTGTGGCCTGGGTGCAATCCCTGATCACGGAACTGTGACTCCTCAAGCCATGCAGCATGGCCAAAAACAAACAAACAAACAAAAAGAATAAAACATGCTTGACAGTTGAAAGCAAAAAATTTAACATTGATGAATTTTCAGTGTATATAGATACAGTATACAATACACTTATACATGAAGGAGGAAGTGTAAAGGGACCTATATGGTGGTAAGTTTTATACATACCAATTAAAGTGATTCTAAATAGACTATGAAGAATTAACTATGTATTTTATAATCCCCAAAGTAGTCATAAAAATTAACGCAAATAGATATAGTCAAAATCACGATAGGTACAAGAATAAGTTCAAATAACCCAAAAGAAGGCAGGGAAGGGCAAACAGAAGAACAATAAACAGGAAAAAGAGAAAGAGCGAGAGCAAATAATAAAATGGCAGACTAAATGCAAACATACCAGAAATTATACCAAGTGTAAATGGTTTAAACACATCAATTAAAATATGAGATTGTCAGAAGATTAAAAAAATGACCCAGCTTACACCTGAAACGAACACAATATTGTAAATCAACTATACCTCAATTTAAAAAATGACCCAACTATATATGCTATCTAGAAGAAACTCTTCAAATATAATGATATAGGTAGTACTTGAAAAGTAAAAGGTTGGAAAAAGATATACCATGCAAACATGAACTAAAAGAAACTGACAAAGTAGACTTTATTTATTTATTTATTTTTGGCCATGCCATGGGGCATGCAGGATTTTAATTCCCTGACCAGGGATCGAACCCATGCTCCCTGCATTGGGAGCACGGAGTCTTAACCACTGGACCGCCAGGGAAGTCCCTGACAAAGTAGACTTTAGAGCAAAGAAAATTACCAGAGATAAAGAAAGACCTTACATATTGAAGAAGAGTCAGTTTACCAAGAAGACAAACAGTTCTAAAGGTATATGTACCTAACAACAGAGTTCCAAAGTACACAAACCAAAAACTGTCAGAACTGAACAGGGAAATAAACAAATCCAAAATTATAGTTGGAGATTTCAACACTCCTTTCTCATTAATAGAACTAGAAAACAGAAGCTTAAGAAGGATATAAAACTGAATAACACCTGGGGGCTTCCCCGGTGGTCCAGTGGTTGGGAATCCGCCTTCCGATGTGGCTTTGATCCCTGGTCGGGGAACTAAGATCCCACATGCTGAGGGGCAATTAAAACCCACACACCGCAACTAGAGAGAAGCCTGTGTACCACAACTACTGAGCCCATGTGCTCTAGAGCCCGTGCACCACAACTAGAGGAGCCCATGTGCCACAACTAGAGAGAAGTCCACAACGAAGAGCCCGCATGCTGCAACGAAGACCCAGCGCAGCCAAAAAAAATAATAAAAATAAAATAAAATAAAATAAAAAATTAAAAAAAAATCGAACAACACCATCAACTGAATCTGACAACTGTAGAACACTCCACTCATAACAGCAGAATACACATTTTTCTCAAGTGCACATAGAACACTTAGCAAGATAGACTATAACCTGGGTCATAAATCAAACTTTAATAAATTTCAAAGACTTGAAATTATAGAAAATATGCTCTCTGACCATAATGGAATTAAACCTGAAGTCAATGCCAAAAAGATAACAGTAAACTTTCCAATCATTTGGAAATTAAACAACACACTCAAAAATTCTCCAAGGAAATTAGAAAATATTTTGAACTTAACAAAGATGGAAATACAACATATCAGTCTTTGTGGGCTGCAGAAAAAGAAGTGCTGAGAGGAAAACTTATGCATTAAATGCTTATTTTAGAAAAGAAGAAATGTCTCAAATTCATAATCTAAGATTCCAATTTAAGAAGCTAGAGAAAGAACAACATAAATCAAAATAAAGCAGAAGGAAGAAAATAATGAAGATAGGAGGATAAATCAGCGAAATAAAAAATCAGTTCTTTTAAAATATCAATACACTGATAAACCTCTGGCAAGACTGACAAAGAATAGAGAAGACACAAATAACCAGTACCAGGGAGAAAGGGGGATGTTACTACAAACCTCATAGACATTATTAAAAAAAATAAGGAAATACTATGAACAACTCTAAGCACATAAATTTGACAATTTACACGAAAATGAATAGTTCCTTGAAAGCCAGAAACTACCAAACCTCACCAAGATTAAATAGATAACGCGAGTAGTCCTATAATTATTAGGGAAAGTTTTAAAAACCTTCTGAAAAAGAAATCTCCAGGTCCAAATGGCTTCACTGGTGAATTTCGCTAAATGTTTAAAGAATAAATAACCATAAATAGACACTATCTTTTCCAGAGAATAGAAGAGGGACTACTTTCTAACTCATTTTCTGAGGCCAGTCTTACCCTGATATCAACACCAGGCAAAGACACTAGAAATATAGAAAACTAGAGACCAATATCCGTGATGAACATAGATGTAAAAATCCTCAACAAAATTTTAGAAGGTTGAATCCAGTAATATATAAAAAGAATAATATGCCACCACCCAGGGCGGGGTTTATCCCAAGGATGCAAAAATCTATCATATTAATGTCTAAAGAAGAAAAACCATATGATCGCTATCAACAAATGCAGAAAAAAATTGATAAAATACATCCAGAATACTACTACTGGGCTTCCCTGGTGGCGCAGTGGTTAAGAATCCGCCTACCAATGCAGGGGACATGGGTTCGAGCCCTGGTCCAGGAAGATCCCACATGCCGCGGAGCAACTAAGCCCACGCGCCACAACTACTAAGCCTGCGCTCTAGATCCCACGAGCCACAACTACTGAGCCCACGCACCACAACTACTGAAGCCCACACACCTAGAGACTGTGCTCCACAACAAGAGAAGCCACCACAGTGAGAAGCCCGTGCACCACAATGAAGAGTAGCCCCTGCTCGCCGCAACTAGAGAAAGCCCGTGTGCAGCAAGGAAGACCCAGCGCAGCCAAAAGTAAATAAAAAATAAATAAAATAAAATAAAAAACCAAAATACTACTACTAATAAAAACTCTCAGCAAACTAGACAAGAGGAGAACTTACTCAACCTAAGAAAGGGCATCTACAAAAAATTCTGCAGCTAACATCATATTTACTGAAGAAAGACTGCATGCTTTTCTCCTAAGATTGGGAACAAGGCAATGATATCCACTCTTACTATTCCTATTCAACGTAATGCCGGCAGTTTTAGTCAGTGCAATAAGGTAAGAAAAAGAAATTAAAATATACATATTGGAAAGGACAAAATAAAACTGTCTACTCACAGAAGACATGATTATATATCCAAAGAATCCCAGAGAAGTTATAGAGATACTCTTAGAACTAATAAGTGAGTTTAGCAAAGTCATTAGATACAAATTCAAGCTACAAACACCAATCATACTTCCATAAATGAGCAATGAACAACTGGAAACAAAAAATTTACATAATAATAACACAATAGCTCCAGAAAATGAAATACTTGGATATAAACCTAACAAAACATGTACAAGATCTGTATGCTTGGGACTTCCCTGGCGGTCCAGTGGATAAGACTCCACTTTTCCACTGCAGGGAGCAGGGGTTTGATCCCTGGTCGGGGAACTAAGATCCCACATGCTGCATGGTGCGGCCAAAAACAAAAACAGAACAAAACAAAAATCTGTATGCTGAAAACTACAAAATGCTGATGAAAGAAATCAAAGAAGACTTAAATAATTGGAAAGACATGCCATGTTCATGGGTTGGAAGATTCAAAATCGTAAAGATGCCAATTCTCTCCAAATTGTTCTACAGATTTAAAGTGATTCCAATTAAAATTGCCCCTGGATTTTTTGTAGATATAGTCAAGCTGATTCTAAAATTTATATGGAAGGCCAAAGGAACTAAAAGAGCTAAAACAATTTGGAAAAACAAAGTTGGAGAAATCACAGTACCCAATTTTAAGGCTAATTTATAGTGACAGAAATCAGATCAGTGGTTTCCTGGGGATGGGGGCAGGCATACAGAAGGACCAAAGGGAAGGATTACAAAGGGACACAGGGAAAATCTTGGGGTAGTGGATAGATTCATTATCTTACTTGAGGTGTTGGTTTCATTAATGTGTATATATATGTCAAACTTATCAAATTGTACACTTTAAATATGTGTAGGTCAATTATAACTCAATAAGGCTATTTTTAAAGTATTCTTTCCAAAGTGATACACTACATCTACTAGGTGGCAGTCGGAACCATAGATTTTGCCAAAATGTTTGATTCTTATCCTCCAGCAATATTTTAATTTGTAAAATAACATACAGGAAAAGTAATATGAAGGTAGGTCGGCACTGCAGCATATTTTATAAGATTATGATGAAAATAAAAAGGAACATAATTATAGGAAGTCATTACCAGACTACTATTTATTAATGTTTTAAAGCTTTAGGTATAGTAAGTATCGAATGCAGAGTAAAGAACAAATATGGTTCCTTCCCCCTTCCCCGATTCCACCAGCAATTTGCAAAGAATCAAGAGGCTGGTTGACGGTTGAACACCTCTATATTTCTATAGCACTTTTGCAGAAGGCCTTATAGTATGTTATCAAAACCACCTGTCACCCCTTGTTAAAAATGCTCTATGTTTTAAAAATTGTAATTAAAAATTTAATCCTATTAATATCATTACTTCATTTTTTTTTGTAACTAGACTGAAATTTCAGCACCAGAATTTTCTAGTTGTCTTCTAAGTCTCTTCCACTATGAAGGAAGGCCTGTCACTCATCCTGCATAGGGATAGGGAGGAATTCCTTTGACCCCCAGGCCAGTTATCTGTTAAAAAAAGAAAAGAGAGAAACTCTGATACAAGGTAATTCACAAGCATTCTCCAAAAACATTTTTATGATCCACAATAATATATTTAGCCACCTATTATCCTTGTTTTGTTTCCTATAATAAAAAGGAACTATTTGATTAGGTATTTATGGTCCAACCCAATTGTTCACATAGATAATAATTCAACTAGCAACCATTTACAACTAGGATTGAAAACTGAATTTATTTCTATCTTCTTCCCATCTGTTAAGAAAGGGGTTTGCGCCAGATGATTTCTACATTTCTTTTCAGCTCAAGAGATCTATAACTCTTATCAGTGTTTATTTCACTGCCAAAAAAAGTTAAGAACCTGAAAATATTCTTGCAACATCAAAACAATCAACTAATCTTATAAATGTGTTTCAAACACTGGTTTTCCAAGCCTATTCTACTGATTTATAGAATTTCAAACACCACTGAAGCAAAAAAATATTTTAAAGCACTGTACAAAGTGGGCTAAACACATTGTCCTGGACTTCAGGTCTAGAAAATCTCAATAAAATGTTTTTAAGTCTAGCATGATGAGCTTAAATGCCAAATACAATTGTATTTGGGAAGTATGAAAAAGCACCAATCATTCAGTTACTTAACTGAAGATCTCCCACCTCACCCTCAAAATAAAAGATATAGCCAGATCACCTTGAAAATTCCACCAGCTTCAGGTTGCTGCAGTAGACCCTCGGGGTCCATCCCATCCCGGGCACTGGTCACATACATTTCAGAGTAATCCTTCCCTCCGAAGCAGCATGAGGTTGTTTTAACAACAGGCAACTTCACAGTTTGGAGTCTTTTCCCTAGGTCACCAAATATTTCATTTAAGTCTAGCTCTAGCAAATTTCCACCCGCACAACTTTTCGGGACCCCTTGTGGAGCAATAGGAAAGTTCAAAGAAGATTTGGAGGTCAGAATTCGCCCAGGTATTTCACCTACCTTCCCTGACAATTTCTTCTGGGCAAAAAAGATTTACCTCTACAGGAAAAAGAGTTCTGACTATAACATTTTGGGCTATATCTTTGGCCTTTATTTCCAAAATCATCCAATTGAGACCTTTGAATATATCTCTATATAACTTTATTAGTAATGAAATTTCTCTGGCCCCTAGTGTCTGGTGTTTTCTAGACATGGTGGGGTTTTTCCATTCTGCTGTGGGCCTACCTGTCTCAGGATCCAAACGGATCACTCTTCCTCCATTGTAACAGGCCACCCAGAGCTTCCCCTCAACATCAATACACATTCCATCAGGGATTTGTTCTTCTTTCTCCAGCTTGTAAACACTTCTGCGGTTGGCTATGGTTAAAAAAACAAACAAACAGACAAACCAACCACACACACACACCCCAAAACCACAGGCCACTCAATACTGAGCATCAAACAATGAGCAATCAAGTTGATTATAAATACTGATCGCTTCTGCTTATCCAGTGTCTGGCAAAAGGGTACCACAGGCGGGATGATTCAGGAGGATTCCTAACTCTAAAAATGTCTAAAAACATGAGTGGGCTCCCCTCAACAAAGGATCTGTACTGTAGGATTTGGGGTGGATTCACTCCCTTTGGTTTGGGTACAGACACAGCTACCTAAGCTTTCAGAGGAGGAGAGAAAAAAGAAAGCAGAATTCTTAATAAAATAACAAAAGATCTTTTTGAGGGACCTGAACTGAAGCCCTGCATGCCCACCTCAGACACACTTCAGTCTGTGGTTAGACCTTTGCTGTTTTACTTCCAAAAATGCCTACTTTGGGGAATTCCCTGGTGGTACAGTGGTTAGGACTCCACGCTCTCACAGCCAAGGGCCCAGGTTCGAGCTGCCAACAGTTCACGCACAAAAACTGACAAGGTGTATGAGTTCTGTTTCTGCCCAACTAAATGCTCCAAAATCACCTTATCTAAATATTAGAAGAGCTTGTTTCTGAAAAGAGGGGTATTCTGAAACCAGCTGGCCGGCCTTAAAGGGAATAATAATATACAAAAAACAAGCATCAAAATCCAGAGGAACATTACACTACAAAATCCAGGTCATTACAGTAATCAGATTGAGGTATAAGGGGAAAAATGTTAAAACCATGTGTAAGTAAAGTGGGTAAAAACAGTCATGAAAAAGAGCACTACATATTTCAAAGCAAAACATCTGTGCTGGAATATTTAGCCTCTGATTAAATCTACATGAGACTCATGATTTTTTTCAAGTCATTTTTATGATTGGTTTTGCTCTTGTGGTCTGGCACCTTTCATGAAAGTTTCAAGTACTCCTTTTTAAATTCTTTCCAATAATTCCTTCCCTCCCAGTTTCCAACTATGGCTCATTTAGATCCGTTGGTGGAGTTGAACAATCTGCAACTACTTGTTTTACTTTTCCATTTTGAAAGGTTGTTAATTTGTCTTTAAGTACTTGCCTATCGTTAGCTAAAGTACAAATAAGAAATATCAACCCCAAACTCTAATTTTCTGTTCTTTTGTCCCATTCTGCTGTATACTATTTGCCTTTAAGCACCAGCTGGTAGAACAGGATCCGTTTTACAGTGAGCCTCTTTCTAGTGATGGTTGCAAGAAAAAGGATTAAGGATCTAGCCATATTATGCAAACTGTGGCCATATTTAGTTGTGCTGAGAGCCATGGCTTGACTGGCAGCAGAGTCAAGTCTGTGTAATCATTACAATATTGGAATCATAACATTAGGTAGTTCTTTGTTTGAAAAGTAAGGACCTTTTCAAATGGGTTAAGGGCGAGGCAGCCTGCTAGTCATATGCATATGAAAAAAATACCAGCAATATTAAGAAAAATAATGAAAAAGTACATACAGATCTTCCCTGTTTGCAGGTCATAGTCAAAAGCATCCACCGAGTAGGACAGGCTATCGATGTAATAGAAGATTTTGTGGTCCAGAGACCAATCCAAACCATTGGAGATGTCCACCTGGTCAAAGTACTTTTCCACATGGTGGTCAGGAAAGAGGGAGTACAGGGACCCTTGGTGCCGCTCCAGAACTGCTGGAGCTGTTTCCTCAGCCATGGTACCTACAAAACCCAAAGAGTATGGAGCTCAGCTGCACAGCATCCCGCCCATGCACTGCACCATCTTCTCTCACCAGGACTCCTTCCCTGTGATGAAATCAAGGAAATTATTATACAATCCCAATCTGGGTCCTATGGGTTTTTTTTTTTAATGACAACTACCTTGCTTATAATGCAAATTAAAACTACCTTGAGAGGTTCTGGTTCTAGACATCTGCACCAACCTCATTTTCTCGCACTGAACACAATTCTAAGACCTGGACAAAATGCATGGCATAGCTATTTGACAACTCTGCAATGTGAATTATCAGGCGGCTCAGAGAAGAACACAGAATTTGAAGTATCACCTAATTGGTGGCGAGTTCTTGAGCCCTCCATTTTATCCTCTAGTATGTCCTGGCCTGAACTCAACCCAGCTTGAAACTTGGAAGTAAGCACCATGGTGCAGGCAGAAAGAGGTCCGAGAGAAACCTCTAGATCTGGCGCAAGGAGCAGAAAACTCTCCTACGGCTCAGAGAGAGTGGAAGAAACCCCCTGCTTATTTTCTACTCCTTTTTCTCCATTTTCTCATGCACCAGCCCCCAGGCAATTCTGCAGTGAGGGTAGCAAAGGCAGAGAGAGGTCAGCAACAGGAAACTACAGGAATCAAAACTCTGAGGGAAGGCGACATTCCTCTGCATTTAGTGAAGCTGCTGGGACAAAAGGGCAGATCAAACACCGTTGCTTTCATGTTCTCTCTCTCTCCCCTGCTGCCACTTGGCCCTGGAGGCAGAACAGTCATAGAAGTGGGTGGTTTCTGACTGGAAGAATGAAAAGGAGCTACAGGAAGCTGGAAAGTACTAGAAGAGGGATGATGCTCAGGAATGCAACCCCATAAAGTTGTTTGTGATTTGCTGGGCTCATCTGTTTGTACATGCATGGATCTGATTCTAATTAGCATGCTAAAGATTTGGAGAATGGAGCTAATGGATGAACACCTTCTAGGTCTCAGACTGACCACTGAGTGGCACACCTAATGGCACCTAATAGAAAGTAGGTTGGAACTTGTGATCTGAACCTAAACATACAGATTGCTTACTGAAACGAATATATCAACATTCTCCATAGGATTTAAACAAGACCCAGCATCTCATAAGGTAATAGTCAAAATGTCCAGGATACAATCCAAAGTTACTTGGCAACACAAAGAAGCATGAAAATCTCAAGTCGTATAGGAAAATGAATCAAGAGGCAGACAGTGAGATGGCACAGATGTTGGAATTACTTGACAAAGACTAAAGCAATTCTTATAAAAATGCTCAAATGAACGATCTGCAAAGTCTTAAAACAAAACTCAAAATAGCAGCAAAGGAGGAGAAATATAAAGAATCCCCAAGTGAAAATTTTAGAACTGAAAAATAAAATTAATGAAATAAAAAACCCACTGGATGGACTCAATAGCAGAATAGAGATGACAGAGGAAAGAGTCAGTGTATCTGATGCTAGATCAAGAAATTATCCAATCTGAACAACAGAGAGAAAAAAAGACTGAAAAAAAATAGAGTGTTAGGGACCTGTGGGACAACAACAAAAGAGCTAACATATGTGTCACTAGATTCCTAGAGAAGAGGACAAAGAATACAGGGCCAAAAAATATTTGAAGAAGTAATGGCTCAAAACTCTCCAAGTTTGGTGAAAAGCATACAACTATATATTTGAGAAGCTGAGAAAACCCCAAACAGGATAAGCCCAAAGAAACCTATACCCAGACACATCATAATCAAATTTCTAAAAACTTAAGTTAAATAGGGACTTCCCTGGCAGTCCAGTGGTTGGGACTCCATGCTTCCAATGCAGGGGGCATGGGTTTGATCCCTGGTCAGGGAACTAGGATGCCACATGCCATGTGGCATGGCAAAAAAGAAAGAACAAACAAAAACCCAAAAAAACAAACAACCAAACTTAAGTTAAATAGAAATCCTTAAGATTAATGAAAGAAAAATGACATACATACAACATATAGGAGAATAATGATTTCAATGACTGTTGATTTTTCATGAGAAACTGTGGAGGTCAGAAGAAAGTGATACATTTTTAATTTGTTGAAAGAAAAATAATGTGTCAACCTAGAATTTTATATCAAGTGAAAATATCCTTAAAGAATGAAGGTGAAATAAAGACATTCTCCTGTGAAGTAAAACTAAGAGAATTTATAGCCAGCAGACTTGTTCTAAAAGAATTGCTAAAGGAAATTCTTCAGACAGAAGGGAAATACCAAAAGGAACAACAGGAATGAAGAAAGAGCAATAGAAATAGCACGTATATGAGTAAATATAATAGACTATTCTTCCTTTTAGTTCCTTAAAATATTTCTGATGATCGAAAGCAAAAATTACATTTTCTGATGGGATTTTAAATCTATGTATATAAAGACAACTATGACATAAATGGGTGATTGTCAACTGAAGTGGTAAAATATTGGTTCTAGACAGACTGTGAAAAGTTAAGTATACATTTGTAATCCATTCAGGAACCCTTAAAAAACTATACAGAGAGATATAGTGAAAAATCACAATAAGTAAATTAAAATTGAATTCTAAAAAATATTCAAATAACCTAAAAGAAGGCAGGAAAGGGGAAACAGAGTAACAAAAAATACAGAGGGAAAGAAGAGAAAACAAATAATAAAATGGTGGATCTAACTCAAAGCATATCAATAATTACATTAAATGTAAATAATCTAAACACATCAATTAAGATAATGTCAGAATAAACTTTTTGAAAATAGAACTATATGCTGTCTATAAGAAACTCACTTCAAATATAAGGATATAGGTAGCTTAAAAGTAAAAGGATGGGAAAAGACCTATCCTATGCAAATATTAATTTAAAAAAACTGTAGAGGCTATGTTAGTATCAGACAAGATATACTTAGAGCAAAGAAAACTACCAGGGATAAATAGGAGTAACTACATATTGTGAAAATAGTCACTTCACTAAGGAGACATAATAATCCTAAATGTGCATGTGCTTAACAACAGACCTTCAAAATACACAAGGCAAAAGTCAGAACTGAAAGGAGAAACAAATCCATAATTCCGGTTGGAGATGTCAGCATCCCTTTCTCCGTAACAGACTCAAGTAGATAGAAAATCAGCAAAGAAATAGAAGAACTGAATACCATTAACCAAACTGGACTTGAGTGACATTTATAGAGAACACTCCATTCAACAACAGCAGAATACACATTCTTCCCATGTGCCCATGGAATATGCACTTAGACTTGAGTGTGATCTCAGAGGACAGAGCAGAATTTAACATAATGAAGAAATTGGAAAGCTCATTTACTATAACATGCTCTATCTGAAAGAAGAGTGAGTTAGAGGAAAATGGACTGAAACTGGGAAGCCTGAACAGCAAGCCAGACCTCCCTCCTTGTTTTTTTGCTATAGGGCAGTTGGGCTTGTTTCTATTATTTCTATTCCACCCACCCACCCCCTTCCCCCACTATCTGCCTCACAGAAGGAGATGCCTGGAACATGAATGTGGATCCCCCACTGCTTAGAAAGGGCTCTTCCTTAGTGGGAAAGAAACTGGATCCCTGGTTTATCATTATCTAGTAGTGAGCCCAGACAGGTGAGACCTTGGGTGTTGGGACATCTTCAGGGTACTACCCACCACTAAGAGACCCCCATCCAGGCTATCAGATGACCCCACCCTTTTCTGGGCCAGGGACAGCTCTCCACACCTGTTGAAAGCTATAAACTCTCTCTAGAAAAAGTTTCTTAGGTGCTTCTGGCAGATGCACATGACCAGTATGTATGCACACTGATGCCTACAATTTTAAGGGGTCTCCAGAGGGCAAAGGTTAAGAATTGGGGACTCCAGGCTAAGAACTCAGGCCTCTGAGGGCATTTTAATTTTGTCTCACCAAGTGCCACAGAGCTGTAAACTTCTAGCCATAAGGGAGAGAGAAAATCAACTTCAACAGGAGGTAGAGTATCCAATCATATTTCTTCATCCTGCAGAAATTACTGGCAGAAGGGCTTCCAATGGATTCTCATCTTTAATCTTTCAACCTGTCCTGGACTAGATCTGTGGTTGTGTAAAGTCCAGGAAGATGGGAAACAATCCACACCACCTGCTCAGATCTTACTTACCTTCCATGTTGAAAGTGAATGGAGGAACTTCCCTGGAGGTCCAGTGGCTAAGACTCCATGCTCCCAATGCAGGGGCCCCGGTTTGATCCCTGCTCAGGAAACTAGATCCCACATGCATGCCACAAATAAGAGTTCACGTGCTGCAACTAAAAGATCCCGCATGTCACAACTAAAGATCCTGCATGCCGCAACAAAGACCCAGCACAGTGAAAGAAAGAAGGAGATAGAAAGAGAAAGGAAGAAAGAAAGAAAGAGAATGGAGCCAGGACAGCATGGCTGATGATGTGAGGGGCAGAGTGGGGAGGTGGAAACAGCAGGGATTTAGAATCAACTTTGGCTAACTATAGGGTTGTTAGGATGGGAGCTAAATGAGAACTAAATGTGAAATGCATTATTTAATTTCAAACTTAGAGTTAAAATTCATTTAAATCTGTATATAAGTCATTCTGCAGCCATCATAATAAAGATGGCTTCAAGTGAGAATCATCAAGGAATGTAAAAGCTAAGGAAGATATTTTGATGAGGACCAGGATATTTGCTTGGACTTAAAGTATCTCCCCATGTTGTAGCCAGCCTCTAAGTTGACCCATAATGACCCCTGCCTCCCAGTATTCACACCCTTGTCTAGTCCCCTCCATAATTTTGTGACCAATAGCACATGGCAGAAGTGATGCTATGTCACTTCTGAGATTGGTTATAATAGGACTGTAGCTTCCATCTTGGGCTTTCTCTCTTTCTCTCTCTCTCTGCCTCTCATCACTGGCTCTGGGGGAAGCCATGTCCCGGGCAGTCCTATGGAGAGGCCCACGCAGTAAGGAAATGAAGCCTCCTGCCAACTGCCTGCCATGTAAGTCAGATTTGAAG